TCGTGCAGATGTTGAAAGAAGAATATTTGTTGAATTTCAGCCAGTGATTTATTTTTTTTTAGAATAAAAAGTCAAGTTATGAAATTCGTATGTACCAGAGAGAAGCTTTGTAATAATCTATTACGATTAAAAAATAAAATGAGTGAATAATTTATTTAAAATTTGAATTGGTAATAATATTTCTGTCTCTTTTCAAAATCATCTTCGATAATTTTGAATGTGAATTAAAAATAAACCGACGCCCTAAGACTGTCAATAGGTGCGCGCTCAGTTTTAGTATATATATGGTATATACATATAGTATATATAAACATACAATAACCCAGCAGTTCGCAGGTGCTATACCCACATCGGTAGAAATAATAGAAATCGATCGGTGACAAAAAACCTCACCGTTTTTTCCATTAATGAATGGCTTACGGTTTTAGTTAATTATTAAAATGCACTGAATTTTCAGAAAAATTGAAAAGCCCGTATTTTTTGCTTCTCTAAATTGCATAAAATATGAATTCAGCTGCGACAGGGATTTGGCAAAAAAAAAAAGGGTTTATCCCAATTTTGCAATTCACAACCGAATCATGGCCTAATGGTACATCAGCCCAAAGATAAAAGGACTCGATCACAAGCAGGGGATTTTCAATAGAAGAATTTTCCCGGATCTGTCAACAAGATTTGAAAAACGATTACGGTAGAGTTGAAAAGACCGTCAGAATCCGCCATCACGGAGCAATTCACCGACTCCCCCCCAAAAAAAGAATCAAACAAAAACCCTGAAAACAACGAAAACAATAGAAGCAGCGATTTAACTCCAGAACACAGTTAAAATTTCAGCCCAGAGAGGCTTCAAAGCCCCTGTGATCACGCTCCCATAAATACTACTATTTCTGGAGCTTGCAAATATTGACCAGGACGATAAATTCCATTTCGCACGGGTTCCATCGGCGCGCAGTGATTGAATATTATGTCACCCCTCGGTGGAACAAAACAATCATCTTCGTCAATCCACCATTAATGAACAACCAATAGCTCAAATCAAGTCATCGTGATTACACACTGTTAAACATTTCAGGAAATTCTACTCAGAAAATCGACTGAATTCCATCTTAGTTTCGGAACTATAGGGCTTTGAATTCAATTTCAGTTGAAAATCCTTAGATAATTTGTTGAGGGCTCTAAATTTTACGCAATAATAATATTACCTCTCAAAATATTCCGAAAAATGTTACAATGTAAATATATTGCTTCGCGAAAATATGAGTAACATAAAAATTTTTAATTTCAAATATTGAATAATTCCCTCATAATTTTATTGAAATCCTCCAAATTTAATTCAAATAGCCATTTGTGGAAGGATTATCGAATCAAGAGAATTCAATCTCGACTACAGCTCAACCATTTCGATGAATATACGGATATATATCAAAGAGTTTTATCTCGATGTTTCGAGATTAAAACGAGATACGACAGATATTACAGACAGGGCTTAATGAGAGGGGAATTCAGCTTTAATCAATGACTGATTGAAAGGATTGTGCCAGTGCGAAAAATTATCCACCCCTGCGGAATTCAATGGGTGATGACTTCATCGGGGTCATTTTCCCGATGAAAAATAAATTCAATCAGTGTCGCGTTATACATTAAGCGAAATACGGGTAAGTGATGGAAAATGTCATCAACCGGTGACTCGTGATTTCCCAAATATTGATTTGGGAATAATGAACTTTGTGAAACGATTCAATTAATTCTCCAGTGAGGAGGCCATTCGTTTGGTACAATGGCTGCGTTGGGCAGTTGACAGCTACTGTAATTGATGTAATTTTAATTTCTCTAACTTTCGTGAAGAGAATTTTTTTTATCGAGCGTCAGAGGACGAAATATCGATCTTCTCTATCCACTATAATTAAAATTAAAAAATCCGGAGAAAGGAGAAACGAATTCGGGATCATTATTTTGTAAAAATTTAATAATCAATGGGGCAGTTCAATTGACATTTCTATTGAGGGCCTTGAGAGTTTCCAAATTTCCGGCGGGTCGCCCTTCAATTTATTCATCGACAGTTAAATAAATGGTACAATAGGGAGCGACAAGGCCGATGAAATTAGTTGAATCATCGTTATGCTTGAGCAAGTATCTCCCCAAGTATAACGGTGATCAACGGCATAATCTGACGTGGCGCCGCAAACTTTACTAATAAAAGTTAACGCGACAGATTTCTCCAACGCAATGGGGATTGCTCATGTCATTGGATAAAATAGTTGGTGAATGTAAAATAATGTGATTCTTATTCAGCGGATTTTCGCAGTTTAACAGCTGAAACTTCAACACTTCAATAAGAAAAAAAATGTATCATAAAATAATGGATATTTTCAACTGAAACTATTCCCACTATCTCGATAACAATTTTCAACCACTTAATCATGTTTCTTATATCAGTATTAAGTGGACATTGTATTCCTCTTAATTTTATTTCTATTAAAGCATGACGAAAAGTTTCTCTATTTATTTCTGTTACACAATTATATGTAACACGAAAATACGTCAAAGATTAAATCAATGATTTCCGTGAATTTTCAAGCTAAATGGAAGATTTATTTGCAATTTTAAATTAAAATTGAATTCAAACTCGTAGAATTAAAAATTCAGATGACTTTCAAGAAATTGTTAAGAGTGTGACATTTACTGAAAATGGTTAAACATCTTTAAGTAAAATTGAATAGAGGCAGTTGTGGTGAAATTGCCCACTTAATGTAGCATTTCAAGCCCTAAAACAGTAGGGCCATCACTACGATGGCCAATCGTCGTAATGTGTCATAAACGTGACAATTATACCGCAATAAGCTGTGAGGAAGTTGTAATTTTACGCTGTGGGCCATGGGCGAGGGTCGTAACAAAGGAACAAAGAGACCAACAATGGTTTAATGTTTTCTCCGGTAGTGACGTCACTCCCTCAAACGATATATGCAGGAGAATAAGGAAATCGATATTCCGTTGAACGCGTCATTTGTGGAATACCGAGAGCTCAGTTGAGTCACCTGTTTTTATTGGAGCACTAAAAGCTCCAATATTGGACTTTATCGCCGAATATAGATGAGAGACTGACCATATTCTCGATCCTATTTTTTCCCATGTCATATTCAATCTAACGAAGTTGGTTATGTGAATTTATTGCTATTAAAAAAAAATGTCCAGTTTCCTCGATATTAAAAAAATCCATCACACTAAGAAAAAGATGAGAATTTTCAAACTTGAGACTTGAGAGGATCATCGAATAAAATATTTTCAATTGACAGAGATAATTCACCCACAAAATGGTGTTGTACCCTGCGTGGGGGGTACTTATATTTATTGTAGGTTCTAGACTCGAAGGGATAAATCCCACCAATAGTTTATAGGTATTTTAATATGAGAGTTTATTCCTTTAATTATTTTAATTATTAATTATATTATATTAATATTTTAATTCTTCCTTTTAATTATCTAAACGGCCTCTTAAATACATAATTGTTTGCGTGTCATTACTTGGTCAGCACAATCCAGTTATGTTGGCAAGAGACACTCTGGCAATACTGGATGTCCAAATATTTAACAATAACTCAATTAACCAAAATCTGGGGCATAACAATGGGCTATCATTAAATTTCTCTCGTCCTTAAACAAATTAAACTATTCTTTGCGAAAATCGGTGATAATGGAGAAATGACGGGCAATGGGAGGATTGAGTGGAAATAGTATTCCGTCAATCTTCGGGCGTCGAAGAGTCAACAATGCAAAAATCATGAAAAAGAAAGTACCCCTCTGGGGTACCGAGAAAACGCAATGTATATATGACCGAGGTCAGGCAAAGTTGAGGGTATTTGGGTGGTGGAGACGGTGTTGGCTCGATTCCAGTGTTTCTCCGGCCAATCGACTTTCGTGATAGTCTAGCGGAAAACACGGGTCGGGTCCTCACTGTATATCTCAGTCGGTGGTACACTCGAGGCTTTTCTAGCCAAGAAGAAGAGGGCGGAGATGAAAGAGTTTTTCCGTTGAAAAATTTCATGTGACACGAAGCCAAAAGAGGCGATCCATCAAAATCAATGGTAGGAGGAGTGTATGCTGACCGTAGACCTTTCACGTACACTTTTCAACTACTGAAACTTCATTTTTATCCGAGTGCTTGGGCAACAGGAGTAATCAAATAGCTTTGTCCTATGACATGTGCATATATGACCGAGTAAACGCTCTACAATACGAACAATACCACTGGAATATGGTATCACTTGGTAATCGCTGCAAACTGCGTTCAAAGAAGAATTCGGTTAATGTTAACGACCTCTGCTAACTCCTGCCGAATGGTGTTGTTCAATTAAAACAACTGAATATTCGTTAATAGTTACCGAATTATCAGCTCTTTGTTGGGTAATTTTATCCCACTTTCTGTGTTAAAATCACCCAACACGGGGTATTTCAGCTACCAATTCAATTCAATTCTATTTGTTATGTTATGATATTCGTGATTAAACCAATGAGTCGGTGATTTTTTTGAAAAATAGCAGATTTCAACTGAAAATCTTAGGAGGTAAACGATAGGCTGTAATGGAAATTTCCCTGAAAGGGGCTGATTTAACAAAATAAAGTGTTAATTTAACCGCACAGTGAAGTTTTCTCTCCCCAATTTATTGGTATTCAAATATTGAAGTGTAAAAAAGGGTTAAAATTTCACGTGAAATTTTGAATAATTACAAAAATTGACATGAAACTTCTGTAGAATCGAGAAATTTCTGTAGAATTGCCGAATCAATGATTTTTTTTAATATGAATAACTGAAGATTCAGATGACTTTGTGATTGAAATGTCCAGCAATTCCCGATGTGCCGTAAATGTACCCTACATTTTTCAAATAACGAAATGTTGCCTCAATGGCTGACCACCTACAAGAGCAATCGAATAGTTGTCCTATGACGTACGTATATACGAGACAAATGGTGAACAATACGAACAATACGACTGGAAGATGGTACCTCTCGGCAATTGGTGCAAACTGCCTACACACTGGTTTCTGCACACAGGGGCCAGTTTGAATTTGTGTAATGGATAGTAGTCTCTCTGGGTGGGTGTCACGTGCACTATGCCGAAACCATTCTGTCCTGTGGCCTCTGTTAATCAAAACGTGAAACGTCGTATGAGTTTCTACATTGGAGATCGGCTCGAGAGGTGTGTCCCACCCGAGATCAGATGTTTGGGTTATGTGATTAAGGGGAAGAAGAGGGCAAGGGGGAAAGCTAGGGGTGAATGAGAAGGAGGGAGAGGGGCAGGGGTTAGAGTTTACAGAGGTGAGAGTAAGGGATAGTATCCAATTATCTGATATGCAGATGAAACCCGTTCCCCGGAATGAAGAGATAATTCGGAATTTTCGGGTAGAGAAAATACTGAGATGTTCCTTACAATTACGTGGAGAATTCTCGAGGTTTCGTGTGGGATTTCCTAGGACTCGGAATTCTCTTCGTTTTTTTGTCTATTATTGTGAGAGAATTGATTACCGCGTTGCATATCGTAAATCACGACACAAATACTCGCGCTTTATCCGAAATTTCATCGGAGGGTCATTGGTACAAACATTTCTTGTTTGTAGTTAGAGATTCAAATTTAATGGTACGAATTTGGGATTCATATCTCTCATGTTGGAATATGGCGAAAAACTAATTCAACCGGAAATCAAAGAACGATTTTTCACGTAAAGTAGAAAATAATTAAATTTCTCGGTCGCATTGAAAAAACCATTGTTACATTCAAAGGAATAATGAAGGGATGACTATATTTTTCCACTTTTTCCTTCTCACATTGGAATTTAATGAATTTCAGAGCACCTCTACCCCCATTTCACTCCCGGCCCACCCAACCGCATTCTATTTCTGCATCTCCTCAGTGAATCCTCTACACTCTTTCAATTGAAAACGCGATTCTCAATCTCTCAACGACTGACAGTTAATTCTGATAACAGCCAGATTTGTTATCTTGTTTCATCCACCTCTGGATGAAAGTCGATAAATTCTCCTTAAATTTTTCCCACTGAATCACAATATTCCTTGTTTTATTCTCTCTGTTCCAACTGGATCAGAGAATTTTTTTCCCAGCCATTTCTCCATTGAAATTTCACAGAATTTTATTAAGTCTGTAAAATTTCAATTCCATGCGCTTTTCAATAAAATAACTTCGATTTTCTGTAAAACATTGTGATAGATTGAAATTGTACTTGATCAAATCCTATTTTCTATTTAATCGTCATATCGATAACCATTGTATCGATATATAGAAAAAACTACTACAATATTATAAATAATGAAAGCAATTCGCCACTCGTTTTGAAAAAATATAAAACACATAAAGAATATATTTCTTCAGGTATAATTTTTTTGGTGAGAAATAGAGAGAGTTCTTATACCCTAAATTATCTCCCGCGTAAATATCGAGCAGCAAAATGTCACGGGTCAACGAAACAAAACTTTTTGATTGTTCTTCATTACCCGATTTTCCGGTAATCACGAAGTTGATAATAAGAAAGTTTCCGTAATCCGATGGTTCTTGGCATTTAAGCAAACATTTCCGCCCGGTAGCATTTGCCCATTGCTATTGCTAATCGTAATAGCATCGACATAACGCTACGTGAGTATTAACTACCACATCTTGTCTACCCCCTAGTGCATTCCACCCTAATCAGTGAGTTGAAACCGCTGATTATTGGATTATCATCCGGTCCTGTACTCCACAATCTGACCATATCCACTATTGCTAATAGTACATGATTATGAATTTGGCAATGGAAGGGGAAAGGGAATGGGGCATCAAACACGCGTCAATGGTCGTCTGTTTCTACTGATAGTCCATCATAAAATGGTGGAAAGTTTTTCTTGAATTTTTTTGCCCAATCATTCCTTAGATTCGGGTCGTTATTCATGGACACAAAAAATCGCTGTTCAGGCAACTGTTAATCGATTTCCATGTTTACTCGCATTAATTACTTAACTTTCATGAAATACAGTTCCATTGGGGTTAAGATAATTGACGGTTCTTTTAATTTATATCCAGCCATTCCACGCTTTATTTTTTGAGAATTTGAGAATAATTAGCGATTTGAAGTTGATAGAATATATATTTGAAGCGTGTGATGGCTATCTCATCTGGAGGTTGCGATCGGCCAAGCATTGCGTTTTTGTTTAATAAAAATTATATATTGATAATATTGATGACTCATGGAAGAGTTCACTGTCAGAAAATTAAACTTCAGATTTAAAATAACAGAATATTTCCCCAAGGAATCAATATATTTGCTTTAATATTCCGGCCATTGTCAATTTTCCGGTTCATATGACAGAAAAAAACCAAAAAAAATTCCAAACCAAGGAAAAATCCAATGGAATTAATGGTTTAACCGAACGGTTTTAAATGAAAATGAAATTGAAACCAAAAAAATAAAAAGTCAAAAGAATTTCCGTTTCAACCGTGGAAAAAATGAGGATGGTCATTTATATAGACTTAGACTCACCTTTGGAGATGTTTCCGCAAAACGTTATTTTCCAGAGGTGCTTAATCCCTTCTCGCACTTAACTCCGGGCATTGGCACATTATTTAACAACGCACATCACGAAAAATCTCAGAATCTTTCTTCACACTGGAGAAAAATATTCTAAAAAATTCACAGGCTCTTGGTGTTTTCTAGTACTGCTTTGATATCACTGGAATTATTCCCGGGTAGATTGAACCGTCAATCGCCTTAGCTCTACCTCATCTACCAGTACCTCACTATCTCCAACAAATATCACCACACTTTCACAATAACTTCACGCCTCCAGGTCCACACTGGGAAATTGATTTCAGACTAATTCGGATCCATCCATGTCAACTGAAATCAGAAATATTGTTTATGTTAATTTCGACAGAGTGTTATCAGAGCAAAACTGTTATTCAATATTATCAAATCAATAAATTTCCTTCTGCTCCAAAGTTTTTCTTTTTTTATTTTATCGTCTGCATAGGAATCAACAGAAAAGAAATTCTCAATTATTAAATTCGAATTCCATTGCGGACCGGTAATATCCTGAATTGAATTGAATCCTGAAACCTGTAAAATTCCAAATAACCGAGTCTCACTCACAACAATGATCACCCCCACCAAATCAATCCCGAGAATTATTTAAAAAACTTCATCACGGTAAAAGAACTTCGCGTGAAAGAACACATCCGTAAACTGATATACACGCGAAACTCATCAATACGCCCATACATTTCACCCAAAAATTCAATATAATGAAAAAATATTGCGGTGAGAGAATGTGGTGAGGTTTTATTTACCTCGTTCGTGACTCGGCGAAGCGTCTGAATCCGTTGAAGGATGCACGCAACCGATTATCCACACTCGTTGAATGCTCATGCAGCGAGCTCGAGCATGAGCATATTTAAGAGGTCTCGGTACAAGAGCCTAAATCACCGGTGCGATATTGCTCCACGTGCTTCAGCACGTTTCTGATCTCAGTTGAACGACACGAGGAACGTGACGGTCGCTCGACGTAGCCCGACGTACCACCGACGAATACGTCGATCCTAGTCAAGAGTCACTGGCGGACTGCGCGACCGCGCGTCACTGGCGGCGTCTACAGGGTCTAGAGGGGAGATAGAGGGGTGAAAACTCCCCCAATTCCCCCAACTCCCTTTCCCATGACTCCCGTTTTTACGCTATATCCCCACCCACACCCTCACCGTTTCATCCATCTCCTTGTCGCGCATCGTCGCCCACTCGCTCCCATCCATTCCCCTTTAGTTTGAGCCCATTCTCCAGCTTTGTCTCACTCATCAACTACCAGCATCTTATCCCTCTCAATTCCCAACTTCCTTGTCACGCAAATCATCCCACACCCCGTGTGCTATTCCAATTCCAACACCTTTCCCACCCTATCTCATGTGCCGGAGCGGTCCCAGAGTGGTCGTGGTGACCAGGGAGCATCGGTTTTCCTAGCGCTACGGGGTTGTAAAGGGAGATATCGTTGTATCATGAAAAGTCGCAAAAAATCCGTTAATGGTTTCATCTTATATCGCTATGGGGTGGGAAATATTCGGTGAAAATTACGGAAATCACGATTTTCCCCCTTTATGGAAACCACTTGGAAAATTTGAGTGGCGGTATCACGCATTTTTCATGGAGAAATTCAGGGAGATTGTAGATTGCTTGGAAAAAATTCTGTAACGCACTTCCGTCCTGTCTTTTGAGACCATCTTTTTTATGGAAGTTTTTTATCTCTGTAGTTTTTTAATTGACATTATTTGTAATTTTTTCTTGTCATGAGTTTATCAAATTATCGTGCCCTCCTCAACTGCGCATTCATTGTTAATGAATTGTGGTAGAAATAAAATGGAGTAGGGCATCAAGACACTCCAGGCAAAAAGAGGACTTTTAAAAAAAAATTTGTGTGCTCGACTATTTAATTTCTTTCAACTATTATATGCGCGCATGACTTAGAATAATTTAATAATTACTGAAATATATTTGTGTACATGGCTGTTGTTTCTGGCAAAAAAGACAAAAGGCTAGTGATTGTGGGTCTAATATATCGAATAAGGATGAAATAACAAATAAATGCCCAACGCTCTCGATAAGAGAACAGAATTATATATCAGACTTCGCAGTTTTTTAAATGACAAAAGAATATTCCCTTGAATTTCATAAATCTTTTTTATGGAACGAATTTTTCTCACAGCGTAATTCTTGATTCTTCGCTGAAATGAATCCATGACATTAGATAATTGATGTAATTGCTGATTTATGCTAATGAAGATTTATTCAAACGAAAAATTCAGGGATAAATCATGCTTTGTTATTACAAAAAAAGGACTATCACATTCAGAAGAGCATGAATTCATATTCAAGACTCCTTGCAAATTAGAACAATGGCTCGAGCCCCGAGGACGGAAAACATGATGATACTGAAAGAGGACAACTCCAAAGATATACTCGAAGATGTTGAATCTATGTTGAAACAGTCGAATGTGGTGGCTTCTCCGTAAATATATAACCTGTACTCCCATCCTTCCAAATTCGTCGAGAATGTTATTTATAATTTCATAGATACGGAGTTTTGTTGGATGAGGAATATATGGACTTATGCATAATTTATGGTAAGGAATTGGGCATGCACATTGTGCAGAGAGCCTATGAATTATTCAGTCCAAATTCATACATAAGTTATAGTGAGTTAACATACCTTGATGTATTAAATGAACAGTGAATCGGGACTGGGTGTTGTCAAACCGATGGATGTGTTGTAATCGAGAGGTTGGTCCCAATATATCATCTTCAGGAACAAGACCCCTGCTTTCACTGGATAATTAATACGCAATTCTCATTCACTGCATCAGGAAATCCCTGGAAAATTTAAAATTACGGTTCTGGATCAGGCCCAACAGTTATGCAAAACAAAAAAAAAGGTTGAAAAGTTTTTTTTTGAAAAATGTGACTTTCGTCAAAATTGATTCTTTCACTTTTACATGATTCTCTCGTACAGTAGCGTAAAACCAGAGGAAGTGCGAAATCAAAAAGAATAAACACACAATAATCTATTCTTTATCTATTAATTTCGATTCTTGATTTATTAATTTCTACAAGAGAGTCTCATCTTATTAATCCTCATCAACCAGAACCTGAGAGCCGAGTGACTTTTCTTCACTAGAACCAATCTTTTCTCTGTATTATTGACTTATTTTCCGAGTGGAATTTCTTCGACTGTTCTGCTACGAAAGTTGGAATGGATGAAATTGTGAAGAAATTTTCCAACGGAAGGATTTATCGAAAAACTTTCAAAGCTGCCTAGCAGAATCAAATCATCCTTTTTCGTGTAGATGATTAAACACACGGCAATTTTTACCGACAATTTTTCCAACACCTATTGCCTCTCGCACTTCAGTTTATAACTGAGAGCCCTTCTGCAGTAAGGCTGTCATGAAAAGCTTACCAGTGCAGATAGGTGGAAAAAGGTTGTATAAAAGTAAAGTAGGTATAGAGAGGAGCTGTATTATAACCGCCACTTCATAGCTGTATGTGTCCGGAAAAGTTTTTACACACGTTTCGTTTCGTTGCTTCGAGTGATCCATTGGGAGAATGGCTTCAATGAATAATAATGAAGGGAATATGCACAATCATGCGTAGTCACAATGTACCACCTGGTCAACTCTTTGTGATATCAAAATTTTGTCGATATGAATGCAATTCGGGTCGGATTTTATTCACTTCCAAAATTCAATTACCAAGTCTGACCGTCTACCGCAAAATGCATGTACCTGTTTTCTCCGCTGAATTAAACACCGGTGAAAATTTCTACCTCATATCATTCCCGCATACCTTTCCCATATTTTGTCAAATTATCGCTCTGCTCGAAGTTCGGTATTTTTAGGGAAAAACCCGCTACAATCTCATATTTCAGTTCAGTTATTCCATGAAATTTATTGAAATATATTCGTTGAACACTGAGTTTCGTAAAAAGGAATTACGAAAACATCAATTTTTAATGCATTAAATCGGATAAATGAGAGTGCCGCGAGTGTTACATTTAATATGGAGTCCCAGAAATGCGTTGGACCACGTAATGATATCACTGAAGCAAGATAATATTATGCAGAAGCAAGGGTTCTAGTCGTAATCTCTGAACGTGTCGATATAAGAGGAAAGTGAAATTGTTTAGAGGTTCAGACGAAGGTTCACCGAGAGCTGAAATATCTTAGAACTGTGAACCGAATGAAATTGAGTTGGTCTTATCTGAATAACTCATTACAAAACGTACACTTTTATGAGGCCATTCCCCCGGCAAAACCTCAAGCGGAGAATACGTGAGGAAAACGTCGTCAGCTCACATCCATACAACACCTCGACGACGTGCTTCAAAAGCCACATGGTAATATCACGTTGAAGATGAATATGATGGTTTGTCCGCAGGCAACTTCCTTTACCTCCTGCAACCAGCTCCTTCCACCATTGCCGCGGGCCCATTTCAATTCATTATTTGCGCCTTGTTTCTCTCATCCCTGGAAATATTCGCAAACGATTGTATGTAATCGAGACAAAAGACGCAACCATTCAAGCGCCATACAATTCCATTCTTTCGCTGTTACTGAAATGATATCGCCTTCCTAGTAACCGCACACTGAGAGAAAAATATTTGGTACTGGGCTAATACACATTGCTCGGTTCTACGGAAGACTGCGGCAAATGTTTATAATGTTTATAATGTTTATGATGTTTATTCGTCTGCGCTTATCTTCTTGGAAATGACTCCCACATCGTCAGAACTGGATTGAATTGAATCAATTGATCGCTTTAAGACATTCCAGAATTATTGTTCTCTACCTGCGAAAGGATTTTCAAATTCACATTACCATGGGAAAATATCGCGATATTTTTGAGCTGAATGAATATATTTTCGGCAGGGAAAATTTTTCCGCTCAGTGGAAAGTAATTAATCGATGATCTCCGTAGCGCTTCTGAATTTGCGAATCATAAACATCGACGAATGATATTTAGAATTGATGGCAGAGTAATGAGTATTGCATTGAATGTAACAGAGTAATGATGAGCTGATTAGATCATAAATATGCGAATGGAGTTTTAATGGATGGAATTGCAATTACGCGAGCAACTGGTGCGACAAGATCTTTTGGAATCAATTGTTTTAATAATGACGTAATGGATTACGTTCAATTAATCCTAGCGAACCTCGACATTGGAAATGCCATTGATTGCGTCCAAAACTTCAAAAACCTTTCATTCCGGTATCTCTACCCATTAACCTAATGATCAGCTCTTGGTTGAACGTTTCCGGTTGGAATCTCATGATTACAACAATGCCGTTGGTATTCTGATACCGAAATTCCACGGCACCACCAGAAAACCAAGTGTTTACGAAATATTTCACCATTATTTATGGTCTTTATTAAACTTATTTTTCTATCATTGTTCAGAATTCCGGTATTCACAAAAAAATTGTGATAACGTTACGCTACAGTAGTTTCACCACGTGAATCTTTACTCTCGTCTTTTAGTTCAGCTGCAGTATAAAGTACCTCGTGAAAATTTTAGAACATGAATGATTAGCACTTTCTCGACTTTCCCGTGAAACTTCCAATTCCATGAATCTATTCGTCTTAAATTCCATTAAACTTTACTCTACCGAAAATTACTACTGCTATGGCGGTGGCAAATGAGATTCGCTTGCAAATTCAAATGCCCTTTTTAGCGTCATCATCGCAAACACATTTTAGTTTTCCTCAAGTCGCAAAAATCGTGCATGGTTGACAAATTCCACATGAAAATTTAAAATATTGGAATTTTCAACAACAACAAAATGATAAGTCATTTCTATATAACTTTAAATATACAAAATTGACAAATCAGTTAATGCTTAGAGCTAGTTCTGCCAATTCTTGATTTTCAGATCGATATTACACTTAGAAACGTGCAAATGACGAACATTCAAGCAATGATGTTGAATGATGATTGATGTTGCATTTGACATTCACCATTGTGACCGACATTTCGATAAATTTTTAACGGGGCGATATTTTATAT